TGGGGTTACGTGGACTGTAAGGGAAAAAATATGAAAAGTTACTTACGTCAATTGTAAAGATCTGTTCCACCCCATCCAACATGAGGACACCGCACTCCACTTCCTTTCCGGAGGGTTTGAAGCTGGGTGATCGCGAGATGGACTTTGACCTTGTCAGCGTACCGTTGTTGGTGGCAATGTTATTCACACTGCTGCGGTTCATGGTCGAACCAAAAGGAACAGGCGTTGCAGCAGTTGTCGTGGCGGCCGCAGGAGTGATGACCTGACTGTTGTTCAGAGAGCTGGACAGGTTGTTCGTCCTGCGCAAACTTTTGTAGTAGTCGGGTTTCGGCAGTGTGTCGGTAACCTCAATAGTACCGTCCGGAAGGGCTTCTGTTGTCTGATAGTAGTTTGGCATACTCTGGTTTGTATAAGACAAGGACGATTAAACGAAAGCGGGAGCCAGCAGAAAGCGCAAACTAATATCTTTAAGCAATGATTGTATGCATATCCAGGTCTCACGCGCAGCAACAAGTCCAAAATATTCATTGTTTAAATAGTTTTCAAAAACTGATTTTGTATAAAATATATCAAATGAACTAAACCCTATGCAAATCTAACTAAAAATATAACTTAACTCTTTTTTGCAAATAAAGTTTCAATAAAAATGATACCTTAAATATAATTAGGACAAAAATGACTGCTCTCCAGAATATTAATATACTACAATTGAACTAATTATGCTTTAAAAATCCTAAATCGGAGGGGTTCCTCTCGTTTTGGTCGTAGTGGCATGTGAATAACAATAATATATAATTTGATATTGCACTGCATCAATTATTTTGCTCGTATATAATTTTCGTAATGCAAAACAAATTTTATCCCTACTCGGTAAAACAAAAAGGTAATTTGATTTAATTATCTGATGGTTGGAGAACCATGTTCAGTATCTGTACACTAGTAACAGTGTGATTAGTTCCAAATTATCTGCGCTTTGGGTATTTTCTAAATTGATAAACGTCTGTTGCTTGGTTATAAAAATGGTTTGCTTAGAAAGCACATATAATTTTTATTTTTGACGAGGAAAATGGATATAGTCTCATCTTTTACTAGTGACGAAATATCACGATGATCAGAGAGTTTATGCTTTCAGCGAGAACCGTAAACCTCCGGTATCTCCTTTGAAAACCGCAAAAGGATGTCAAGTTATTTTCAATTTTCTTGCTTACGGCGAAGAAATTTGTAGAAGGCTAAGTTTTTGAGAAAATTAGACAAAAGTGATACCATATCAAATCGAGCATTTCCTCGGTAAACAAAGGACTGGACTGTTCCAGCACATGTAGATATTATCAAACTTCTAAATACACAAGCCAGGCTTGTGGTGGATGAACAAAATTCCAATTTGTGAAAGACCAGTTAGAAGTGTACAGTGAGTTAAGTGACAAATAGATTCTTAATAGTACAAACAGGTTATTTCGAAGTTAGTTCTATGGTTGACAACATCAAACTGTGTCTCATATTTTTAAAAACATAAATTGTCATCTATTCAGGCAAAAGAGTATTGTTTTCAGGTTACCCGTCTTCCAAAACAGCAACATTTATCATATCTGTCACAACTTCCCTTTCTATTTACGATTTATGCGACTTATGGATTAATTCATGCAAAGCTCGAACGCTCATTGCAAAACT